GAGGGAGAGAGGGGGAGAGAGAGAGAGAGAGAGAGAGAGAGAGAGAGAGAGAGAGAGAGAGAGAGAGAAGGAGGAGGAGACTTGAGCACCCTACTAATCTCTTTACATCCTGGAGTACAAAGGAAATGCTGGGCTCTTAACAAAAACTCAGTCATTATTTTAAATGACTATATAATAGCCCCACAAAACTTTTATGTATTTACTTTGGAGAACTTCACTGTTCATTAAGATATGAACTTGGTACCCAGGCAGCTAATAGTCTAGCTTAATGGGCAGAATAGTTGTGCTAAGAAGTCACTGTTTCCTTATTAAGGAAACATTAGTATGAACTAGGATGTGTGTGGGTGTGTGCCTGTGTGATTGAGAGAGACAGGAAGATAGGCGGAGACCAATGGCAGGGAAATGAGAGAGAAGACAAAAAACCATTCTAGAAGCAGAAGAGCCTGTCTGCCCAAGTACAGCCTCAGTGGGGAGCTGTCCTGTTTGAACTTATACTCGCCTCTGCCACCGTGTTGGTTACTTATTTCCTTGCTGTGTCCAAGTACCTGACAAGAAGCAATTGAAGGACAGAAGAGTTTATTTTGATGTATGGTTTTAGAATTGAAATAGCCTATCATGCCAAGGAAGGCATGGTAACAGAAACATATGTATTAGTCATGGTTCTCTAGAGGAACAGAACCAACAAGGTGAATACATACATACATACATACATATATATACATATATGAATGTATTAAGTCAACTAATATTAAAATACTGACATCACTGAGAACCTGTAGTTGCTGGCTCCCCAAGGCTGAGTGCTTTGGCAGAGCCACAGCAGCTATCTCTCACTGGAGAGGCTGATAGCACAAACCCAGTAGTTGCTGGGTCCCTGAGACTGGGTGCTTCAGCAGTCACAGTCTTGCTCTGAAAACTGAGAGTTTCCTGCATAGCCATCATTCCTTCCTCCATGATGGAAATGTGGAAACACTAGTTCTGATATCAGTGAAGAATCAGTAACTACAACCACAGCAGCAGCAGTGGGGAGACTCTATGCTGCTTCAAGGTCATCCGAGCAACAGTCATGTAATGTTCATTCTGCTATAACCTTCTCATTTGGAGTGCTACCAGAAGGTATTGCCTACAGTTGGGGTGAAGTGTTCCTAATTGATTAAGACATCCAGATGAGTTCTTCAGTTGAGGCTTCTCACTAATTCTAATTTATAGAAAATTAACATTAAAACCAAATACCATGAAATAGCAGGTCATGTTGTGTCTACACTTACAAAGCAGAGAAGACAAGAAGTGTAGCCTGGCTTTAAAACCTTCAGGCTTGTACCATAGTGATTACTTCTTCCAGTGCGATTTCACCTCCCAAAGGTTTCCATCTTTCTAAAACAGTGCCACTAGCTGGGACCAAGTGTTCTAATACATGAATAGGTGTGAGACATTTCAGTCACTTGCAGGTTGTCCTTGTTTGAATTACTTCCTCTTTGCCCATTTCTTCCCTTATAAAATGGGTATATGAATTCATGAATTCATGAATGGTGGGAGGATTAAATGAATGAATGCATATAAAACCCGTCAAAGGTGCCTCTTTCTAGCTCTTAGTATTATTGCCTTAAGTGGTGTTGCCTTAAGTAATAAGTTCTTTTACAAGAGAGGGAGAACTTCTTATTCCTCAGAAAATATGCACTGTGAGCAGAGCCATATCTGGAAAGGGGGAAAGGCTGAGTGTGATTCAAAGGTAGGGTTCTGGAGCATGGGCCAGAATGAAACAGGAGTGGAATTGGGCCAGGCCTCAGTAGGCCAGGATGAGCAATATAGAGAGCAGTTGTTTACATAGCTTCTGGATGCCAAAGCTACAGATAGAGTATCATGTGCATAAATGTACTGTCAATGAAGTTAGGACATCTCTAGCATTTGTTAAACCTAGAGGAGGAGGAGTCTCCATTTAACAGACGACATAGAGAAACTGAAAACATTAAGAACATATGAAAATGTCTTCTTGAAGAAAAGGACCAAAAAGGTGGCGACAGGATCCAGCATGATTCAATGAACAAACTGTCTCTTGGGGACCGAGGTTATTTGTCTAAGGAATCTTGTCCAATGAATAGGAGGGCTAGAAAAGCAGATTTTTCTCATTATATGAGAGGAGTTTTCTAACCATGTAGAACTGCCATAGGATTTTTAGTTTGCCACGATGAAGCAGGGAGAGCCCAAATGATGGAGGTGGCTTAGTCAGTAGGTCATTGTTAACCCAAGGAATTCTGTTCATATAGCCACATCCTGTAAGCCTCTGTCAACCCTGAAATCTCATCTCATATAACATCCAAGCCAGACCTCATTTCTGAGGCCCTTGACATAGTCTCAGCCACTCATCTCTCACTTCCCTCTATAGCTGAAGATATATGGAAGTAAAACAGTTTCTGAAGTGTATGTTAAAGGGATGATGCAGTATAAATTCAACCAGACCATGGCTCCCAAACCACCCTCTCCGCAATGTAGTCCTACAATCATGGCTAGCTTTAAGACAATCCTGTCTGTTGGTTTATACTCACTGACAGGATGTGGCTTGCATCCCTACCCACTGTCAGGGGATCCCTATAGCCACTGTTCTTCCTGCTGCCAGTTGGCTAGTCTTTCCTCTGTGATGTTCAATGCCTGCTAGGTAGGCTGTGGGTGTGCTTATAGGTACCCACAGCTACAGAACTGGGGCTGAGCAGAGGCATGGGGTATGAGATGGCTGTTACCTTCTATTCTGTTCATTGTGGCTTCCTCCCTCCCCCAAAGCTTTTATGTAAGAGATGGAACTTCTTTTGCACTCGAGACTTTTCAAGCTCCACCAACTATTAGTTTTCATTCCAGACCCTAATAAAAAGTCAAGCCTCATTCTCTAGGATACATTGGTACCAAGATAGAAGCAAGCATCTAAAAGATGCTCATCACAGATGCTTGGGGCCTTGTGTAAGGTTTCAGAGAATAAAATTAAAGTGGTATTTCCATGGAAAGGTAGAGAAGGAAAGGAAACCAGAACAGCTTCTCTACAACCTAGCGGATGATCCCCACTGAGGATGGTGATTGCCCTGTGTGTTATGCTGCAGGGTGCAAAATAAACACCACACACAAAGACCACTAATTGCTTCATTTATTCTTCCATTTAGTCAGGGAAACATCAAAGCTTATTCAGTCTCAGAATGGAAAATTACATGTTGGGAGAGAAAAGAGCCACACTGGAGGGATGACAGTGCAGTTCTGGTCGGGCCCATTCACATGTGTTATTTACCATTGAAATGAAGGCTATGTACACATACAAAGACAAAAACTCTAAGAAGCACATTTGAGAGAATACCAAAGTCAGACTTTGCCCTTTCCTCTGTTTAATCTACATTTGCAGATTAAATGAAAACGCAAGGGACAAAGAGATCTGGGGACAATGGGATCTGGGATCTGGGACTCAGTTTTTCCTGTTTGAGGATTAAAATGCTTTTTAAGGTTAACACCAACCTGGGGCTTCTTATTTGAGAATAGCATACTTGTCTCTATAGAAACATATTGGCATCATCCAGCCTGCTTGGTTAGGTATTTTGAGTAAATACTGTAAAATATGCAGAATTGGAGACTCCAGGAGTCCAGTTCTGACACTACCCCAACAGGAGACAATCACAAGATCCTCAGGAAAGACACTCAGTGACACATGAAAATAAATTTGGATACTTGAGCAGGAAAGGTTCTGAAACCCTCATACACAGGAGGGAAAACTGAGACCCAGGGAACATTTTTTTTTTACACTGCAAAGTTAATGGCAGGAACTCAAGTTTTCCAATGTTTAACTATATTCAGATGCTGTGTACATATATACTCCCGGTATCATTGTTGATGTTGCTTTTATCAAGATTCAAAAAATTGGCAATTTTACTTGAGTGAAAAGAAACAACGTGTAGAGGAAACAAAATGATTTACATGGGACATTATAAATTCCTGTTCACTTTTAGGACTTTTATGCTAAGATAGAGTTAAAAGTCTAACATCTGGATCAAAATCAGGAAACCACAATCCTAGGAACATGTGATGGTATCATATACAGAGATAGGCATGGAAGACAGCACCACACGGAAGGATCAGAAAAACTTATTAGAGAATGAAGTGGATCACGTTGAGGACTGGTAGGCTGGTCTATGCTGTTCCGTGTTTTCAAATAACACAGAAAAGAACACAACATTGATACACCAGAGAGACTAGTTCAAGAGGGGCTGGTGGAACCCACCAGAAGCGGGGGCATGGACTGACACATAACATCCACTGTCACCTGAACTGCATGTAAGCCTGCATGACACCCTGTCCAGCCCCACATAGCTCTAGGGGTAGGTCACTGCCAAATGCATGTTATCTCAAAAACTGACTGGCTACCTCTTTTTTAACGATGATGTGTGTGAATCAGAGAGGGGACGCCTGAGAGGTGGCAAATGTTTCAAGTGGCTGATAGAGGCTGCACATTCTGAACTCTGGACAAAGTGACAGGGATTTTGGTGTCCCCCGGGCCTGGAGTTTTAGTGATGGGTTGGGTATGGGCTTTAATGTCTGCGATTCGCTCTTTAAACTTCTGTTGGAGGAACTTTTCTTCTTTGGAATAGCTCTTGGCAAACACAGACATCAGTAGGCACCCTGCCATGGATGTGCCCCCGATGCAGAAGAGCACAGCCCCTGCTAGCTTGCATGTATCCAGGGCGCCGTTGTACTGTACAGCATGTGTGTCCACCACCATGAAATCAGCTTCACCAAAAGCTTCGATTTTGGGGGGCACAAGAAAGCCCACCGCTAGGACAGTTAGTCCAAGAATCACAAAGACAGTGCCAGAGATGAGTCCGACCTAGAGAGAGATAAGGATAGAGGCAGGAGAAAGTGAACAGCTGAACCCTTCTGCTTCCCCTCAGCCACAAGGGCACCGCCCACTTCTCCAGAGTTCAGGCTATTCCCAGCCACCTTCGATCTGCATGAAAACCCGACTTAATCTTATATCTAATCTAGACTGCTGGAGTAACCAGATCTTGGAGTACTGAATTTAGCTTTTGAATACAAGCAGCACCCAGACCAACACCCTATAGCTTCCGACTTGTACAAACTGAAGGAACCTGCCTTTGTTCACATGCCTCACTTGGTGTTGAGGAAGAGAGAAACTTCCCTGATGTCCAGAGCTGGCTTGACTCTGTCCTGTGAAAACCTTGATCTCACCAGAAGCTGTCATCTTACAGTATGTTATGTCAATCACAGAAAAATCTCATAGAGTGTCAACTCAGACAAGCTCAACCTATGGCCATGATGGAAGAAGACAAGACCTAGCCGTTTCATGATTGGGTCATAGCTTTTACAAAACAGTGTCACCCTGTAGGTGGTTCTTCCCAGCCAATAGGCCTATCTGTTACTCCTTTTTCTACTATGGCTCTCCTATTAATGTATCTGCCTTCTGGTTGCTCTCTTAGTCCCTCCTGGAATCCTCTAACCAAAGCTACATCCTATAATTCATTCTTTCTCACTCTCTCATTCTGTGCCCCTGTGATATCACTATTTTCACTGCAATGTGTAGCAAACCTAGCATCCTTGGCAGACAGATGTGGTCCTGGTATCTGGGGCTTGAGAATCCTGACAATCCTTATGGAGGCTGATGCCTTCTGAAAGTAAGCAGGGAAGGATCCATAGCCAGCAATTAAAAATGTGGGGCCTCCAGCGGGTTAGTCATTGGCTAAAACTAGACCCACCACAGAGACAGGGGCTGGAAGCCACACAGATGACCCCAGACCAATGCACTGTATCTTTCCACGTGTAGTTAAGTGAGTAGAATTTGTGCAGATGCCAACATGTTAGAGCAACACATGGAAGATAAACTGCCTCAAGTCAAGATCTCCTTAAATGCAGTATAGCTGTTTTAGGTTTTCATTTATGTAACCAAATGCCTGGCAAAAGAAACTTACGAGAGGAAGAATTTGTTTGGGCTCAAGTGGATATGGCTTAGCATAGTGGGGAAGGCATGTCTGGGCCAACTCCATGGTTATGAAAGCACAAAGCCACAGCTTGCTCACATCTCAGCAGGATGCAGAGGAAGGGTGGTCAGTGGATGTGACAGCTACGCTTGGTTGTCAACCTGACTACATCTAAAATCAACTGAAACTCCAGCATCTGGGCAAGCCTGTGAGGGATGTTCTTGATGGAATGGATCATTTAAGGTGGGAGGAGCCACCCTAAATCTGGGCCTCACCTCCTGAGTCAACCCACTTGACAGGATGAGGATGGAGGAAAGCACTCCCTTTGTTGCCCACTTGCTCTCGCTCTTGCTGACAAATTCATGCAATCTATTGCTGAGGCATTAATTCACTGTTATCAGAACTTGTTTGTTTCGGATTCCAATGTAGATGGAACACCAGCAGCTCTCTGGGAATCCTCCAGGGACTCCAGCATCAGATTGAGACTGCTGATACAACCCAGCCTCCTGGACTGAACAACTACTGAATCTTTAGCCTTTTGGTTAGGAGACAGCCATGCTTGGACTATCCCAATTATAGCCTGTAAGCCACCCAAATAGTAATCAGTTCTGTCCTTTAAAGAACCCTTATTGATACAGTTGACAGTCTCCCCTTCCCCTTTACAGTCATTCTGGATGTGCATGTGGTGATGTGATGTGGGACTGCGAAAGGGTATTCTGGTTCATGGCTGGGCAGGTGCCTAGAACCCGGAGACTCTGCGTGAGAACCAGCAGGAGTTTGGAGCATCCCCAGAATCCAGGGTCCTGAAAAGCAGTCTAGTCCCCAAAGATTTACAGCCCCTCCCAAAGTGCACAGGTAGAGGGTGTGACTAGAGGCCTCAGGGCCTAGGGAGGGCAGAGGGCAGAGCAAATTAAGCATGCCTCCCCAGATCCTCCTCAATCCTCCCCCAATCCTCCCCATTTCTCCCTCCCTATTTAACTCAGGACTGGCTTGAGTTTTATGGGGCATACTTCCTGATCCATCTACCATCCGCCATGACAATAAACCCTTTTGGAACCAAGGACTTCCTCGTGTCATTGGGGCCTGCCTCTGCCAAAGCCTCCAGGCCACTGGAACCTTAGATCTCCTCCCGCATGTGGGACCTGCCGCAGTATGGAAGCCTCCCCGGACCCCACTGCTGCGGGCTGTAATTTTTTCCCCACAATGTGAGCCCACACATGAGGGGTAGGTAGACTCCCCTTGGGCTGGCATCCTGCAACTCGTACTGGAATCACAGAAGCAAAGTTACTCAAACGTTTGTATAAACATTTTTTCCTACTTATAGAAATGACAAATGATCGTAATATCTACATTATGACATTGTGAAGATTAAATATGACTGTTCAAAAGCACTTTGCATTTGGCTAGTAACAAACTCTGATGAGCAGCTGTTATGATGTGGAAAAAAACCCTTTGGTTAACAGCATTAAAACAGTTACTTAACATTTGGAATAAAGAGTAGTTAACATTGGAATAAGGGTTAACTATCAATTTTTTAAATGTCTTTTTTTTTCATTCCTAATTGCTTTAAGTTTGAGTAACAAGGTTAGAAAAATAAACAAATACATACTCCTACTTAATCTTGGAATTTAAAGTGGGTGGAACTTCAGAGGTGGCACATTGATTGAGGAGTGCAGCATCAGTGTGCCCCAGAAACCATGCTAGATACAGTGTACTTAATACAGCTGCTTAAGAGAAGTAGAAACTTTCATAGTCATTGTCAGACACTGCAGCCTGTAGGGTGGAAGAAGTGCATTCCAAGCTTCTGTAGTCAATACAATGTGGGGTGGTGTGAGCCCCTGCTTTTCTTATGCCCACAATACTCTGCCAATTACTATTTTCACATTTCCTGCCTATTATTTATTTTAATGTCTAAAGAGTTTTATCCACCATATATGGACACATTTCCTTTAATATGATATAACGAAGAAAGTAAAAAATGAAATATGCCAGTGTCGAGAATAAATACAAGCAGAGAAGCTATTCTGGGTTAGATGCAAGTGACAGAGGAAAAATTGGATTGTAAAATTATATTTTGAATTGCTAAAAATGATGGTAAGTAATTCACCTTCAGAGACTAGCCATTATTTATAACTCTTCAAAAATGACTCACATTGGAAAATTCTGGAAGCATAAACTAAATTAACTTAAATATCCATGGTGACTCGCTTCCCATGTCATTAAATTACCTCCTTCCTCGAGAACTGATACTGAAGCTCAGACACTGAGAGGGACAAAGCTGTGGCAGTCTTGGTTTTACAATTTCTGCAGAGCTCGGGATGCAGGAGCCCTGCCTTTTCTGTCTTGCCTCTTCAGAGTTCATACTCCAGCCTGACTCTGAAAAAACTCTTGACTGGCAAACTCCAGCCTCCAGCCTACTGAAAGTGGACCCCAGTGATCTCAGCATAGCCTTCTTATCTGAGCAGCACACAAGACAAAATCCACTCTTAGAATATCACTCACAAGCTAACATCCAAATATGGCTTCCACGTGGATGAAGTTCTGATCATGGTCAGAACTGAAGCCCTGACTGACCAGGAAGAGGCTCCTTTGTCCATTATTCCCATTGGGGTCTCAGAAGAAGGAGGCAATCATCATTGGCTGTCTGCAATCAATGCAAATGTCGTGGAACCTCTAAACAGTGTGTCCCAGAGAGGGACTGCAAACATGTTACATCAGAAGACAGCTTGCCACCGCAGGCACGGAGGAGTAATGAATGAATCATGATGACAAATCACCGAGGGGAGGGCAGGTGGGCTGTGTAGACTGATCCTGATATCATGTTGGAATATTGGAAGGAATTAAAATTTGGGGATGAGTCTGTCAGCCAACATGTGAACTGTATCCAAACATAGTTGGGAGTTGAAGCAGTCTTAGGTCTAAGAGAAAAATCAGTAAAAAGCATAACCACACAAGGGTCATTGAGGGTTCTAAGAGAGCACCGAAGTTCTTTTCAGTGTCAAGTGTCTTTGAGGGTTGGAAAGCCGCTAGAGATGTTCCATCCAGGTCCCAAGAGCATCCTCAGGCTATGGGGTGGTGGGACCAGTCTTGGTGTCAAGTTTGAAGGACCTCACTAGGTGTTGGTAAACTTCCACAGCAGCAGCAAGGCTAGTGTCTTGGCTGTGACTCCCTATGTCTACCTGAGCTATGTAGAGCATGCGTGAAACCCATTCCCTGCTATAGCAAAGGAGAGTTGGCTAGAGAGGCAACCTTGGGTTCCAGAAATCAGCCAAAAAATTACTGTTATTTCGACCAACATTTCCTTCCTTGTCTCCCAGTGTGCTGGTGAAGTCTGAATTCACAGTGTGTGCCAAGCTAGAAGGCAGAGCCAGCAGCCAGCCTCTGTAGCACAGCTGCTTTGGCACAGAGGAGGCAATAATGCCTACTGGAGGCCAGAAGCAGCTAGGCATGGAGGGACAGCCTGTAGGGGAGAAGGCTGGATGGAGCTGGCGTGAAGGAGCCATCTGTGATGGAGATCATTCAAAGCTCATGGGGAGTGAGAACTGGATTTTGATCCTTCCCTATCTCTGAGGACTGATGTAGCTTCCTCTGTGAGCCCTGAGCTCTGAGTAGCGAGGGATTCTGCCCATGACAGTCGCAGGGTCTTGCTTATTGTTACCTACCTCTCTCCACCCCCTAGATTCTGAGCTCTACCAAGTGAAGCATGTTGGTGATGTAAAACTGGTTTAGCTGCTTCTTCAGGCCTAACTCCACCCAGTACGCACAGTGACTCTACACCAGAGTAATGAACTTACCCATCAGCCCTTGCACTTCACAGAGATTGACCCCTCTAGCACACAGACAAATGTAATAGCTTCCAAATTCAATAATTATTTTAGTTCCCATGCTCACTCCTTGGGGTCACTCCTGATCTTGACACCCTATCTTATAGTCTTCTGTGATGCCTGAAAACTGCATTTTGCTAATTATTAAAGCTCCAGAGTCACAAAGACTATCATTTACATTGGAATATGTGTTTGCCCCAGATTATGTGGCAATCCTCAAATCTAAATACTATCTTTTTTCCTCATCATATTCAGAATGCTATGAGGCTATGGAGAAATTTTTATTGCACCCGAAGCCTTCTGTGAGCCTCTGAATGCATTTCCAGCTCACCCATGACCTCTGCAAACCCACAAACACCTTTGCTCCACTGCTTGCTCTGCCTGGGTCCCTGCTATCCGCTGTGATCTTCCACCCTCTGAATTTGCAATGTACTTCTTTCTATCATGATACCAGATGCCCTGCTCCTACAGATGTGCAGGGAGTCTCCACTGGGAGCAACTTCTCCAAACTGCACCAGATAAGCACTTCCTCCCACTTCCCAAACTCTGTGTTCTCAATATGTACTGTAACCACTTTGATAGGGACAGTTAACATACTGGATTGTAATAACCTCAGTTATCTACTTCCTCCATTGAACTGTAAATCACTATATTCAGAGGGAAGAATGGATCCTATTTGTCTGTTGTACTTACCATGTGGCTTAGATTCTGGACATTACATGTGTAAGATAAAAGGGGAACGTATTAAAATCCCAAATGGAGTTGTCATTTACTGTGAGTTCTTTATTTTCAATCTACAGTTGTATAGCGTTTAATGAGTTTGCAATTCCCAAATCACACAGCAGTGCTGTGGATGTGTGGTGGACAAATAAGCTTTTGTGGAGTGAAAGGATAGCACTGAGATAAGTACCACATACAGATGAGCCAGGAGGACAGAGTACTGATTTGAACTCAGGCCTATGTGATTTCGATCTCTGTTCTCATTAAGCCTGTCCAGTCTGCTCACTGCTCAGGAGCTCAAGGGTGGAGTGCTAGCTAACAAGGCACTGTGAGCATAGCCCCAAGGGATAGCGTGACTCCACTCTTATGTTTCCACAGTGGAGGGAAAGATGTTGCAAGCAACTTGAACCACCTATGGTTGCATGTTGAAAACCAAGAAAAGACATTGAAGAAGGTCTTACTGGGCCACGTGTGCAATGGGGGCCTTTTCTGTATTATTACAAAGTTCTTCCAGAGAACACTTCCACTCAGCCTGCTTTGGAAGTTCCCCAGAATGGCCAGCTTCTGTCAGGGGTAGAGCTAATGTCACCAAGACAGACTCCTTAGGCTATGTAGGCTGGCACTAGGCTTCTGTGTGCAGCTGCAGAGAAACGTCAGCCTGTGTTTCTCTAACACAGGCCTAACACAACAGGGAACAAATATTTGGGCTTTACTAGTGTAAGATAGAATGGTAAAATATTAAAATCTTAATGGAGCTGGTCATTTACTGTGAGTTCTTTATTTTTCAATTTGCAGTTGTATACTGTTTAATGGATTTGGAGTTCCCTAAGTCACACACCAGTGCACAAATGCCTAAGTATTATTTATGTCAGTGGCATTGAAAGATATTGGCAAAATAAACATATTCCATTCAGTTGTACATACACACACACACACACACACACACACACAGAAAGAAAGGAGGGCGGAAGGGAGGTGAGAAGGAAAGAGTGGAAGGAGAGATCTCAGAGTGGAGGGAGGCAATCACCTATACAAGGTATACCTGGCTCTAAGTATGCATTTTATTGATCTGGGCCAATAAGAATTCATCTGAGCTGAGATTTTTACAGAACGAGAATACTGGCTTGTCTAACGCTAATACAGATTCTGTGACAACAGAATGATTTTGAATTAACACAAGCCTCAGGTCATTCACACTATGTTACCCAGTATGTAATTCACTAGATATCCAGTTTTATTTCCATGTCAGAACTTAGTATTCTAATTGGCATGAAGCAATGGCCCCTAATACAGACAAATCTTACTGAAGGTACAGCAGCTGTTGTCTTAAGCACTTTCTAAATACTGTCTCGAGTCTCACATTATTTACATGGGAAGTGAAGTGTCACTACCCAAAGTGGCAGAGCTATGAAACTCAAGAGCATGGGTTTGCATTCATATGGCCTGAGATGGGAATGTATGCTCACATTCACTAGGTGGAGCCGCCTCTTGCTACACGGTATTAACAATGCGTTTCAGTTTAACTCAGTGTCTGGGTAAAAATGGTGGGATCTTTCAGAATAAGCACAAAATCTTGGAGATGGAGGAGACCCCAGGTATACTCTGAAGACGAATCTTCTTAATGTCCTTCCATGAAAAATTCTCTTTTCTTAAACACTGGCACATTCCAGTATCCTTTTCACTCTATGTTCATTGTCTTTGCTCAGGTTGTCCTGGCTGGGACCTTCTGTACATTCTATCTATGAATGATCTCAAATACATGAGCTGAGACAGTAGGTTGAAATGGCCACTTGAGGCCTATCTCTATGGGTGTAATAGTTCCGTTCAGTGAGTCAAAGCCATACTCATGGTTTCTACCTGTCCCATGTCTCTGCTGGGTATCTCCATCTAAGAAGCCACTGTACCATCCAGGACACAAACTCAGGTTGAAGCTATGAGACCTTCTTGATGGCTTCTTTTCATTAGCATAATTTGACAGCCTGGCCATCAAAATTTCTGCTATGCTGGACTGTTTTAAATCATCATTGACACCTTCCTAATCTAAACTACCATTGTTACTTTAACCATATCTGAACTCATTCAGCTGTGTGCCCTCCGATGTTTTTTTTTTTTTTTTTTCTGCTCAGTAGCCAGAAAGGCAGTGAAAATATTAGTTACTCTGACTTCTGCAGATGGATATCCCTGTTTCTTGAGATAAAAGCCCATGTCTTCACCATCATCTACAAGACCCCATAGGAACCATCTGTGCTGTTATTTTCCTGAATTCCTTGTGTTCCCCATTCTAACTCTGCTTCCAGACTGGGCATCTTCCCTCTTCCCATGGGTTTTGGGATTGCTATGTTCCCAGTGCCAAATGACATTCAGCCTGAAAACGTTCTGGTCTGCTCCACCAGGCCAGCTGTGTTTACTCTGATTTCATGTCTTCTGCATACCTTTCTACATCCCTGCACCTCAATCTTATGTGTATGACTGTTGTCACTTGATATGTTGTTAGGGCCATTATGTGGTCACACCAGCATTCATCTCTCTCTTCTTCCTGACTGTGGATGCTTGGGACTAGCTGCCTCAGGTCCGTGGGGTAAGGGAATCTTTTATTTCCTGTTTATCATTTCCAGCACTTCATCCCAATCATTATATAGATGGAGTCAGTGCTAAGTATCTCTTGAGACATGACATGCATTTTCTAATGAGGTGCCTCAGAAAGACTCACGGTCCCCTATATGGTGATGGCAGAGCTGGTGTTATGACTTCAGGGCCATATTTCAGCATTAATTCTTGCTCAACACCATTATTTCTTTCTAGTTATTGTTACAAGGTATTAACTGATACTGAGTTAGTTCCTTCTCTCCACATGGTGAGAAGACACTTGAAAGAAGCAAGTGAAGGGGCGGGGTTTCTGTGGTGCACTTGAGGGAATACTATCCAGCATGGCTGGAGAAGGCTTGGCTCCTGACTATAGTGGCAGGGACTTGCTCCCTTTGGATAAGCAGGGAGCACAGTGCAGGTAAAAAGCCAGGCTAAGGTAAAAATCTTATGGCCCAGCCTCCAGGGACCCACCCATCTCTTAAACGTTTTGCAATCACCCCAAACAGCATCAGAGACTGGGAATCAAATGCTCAAACACAGGCACCAGTGGGGGACTTTACATATTTAAACTACAACAGATACCTATCCAGACTATAAGAATACAGTGCTCTGCATTTGAGTCTTTCACAGTTAACGACTGAACTAGCAAGTTAACGGCTAGCAAGACTACTAATTGTCTGGCCTTTGAACCCACTCCTGTTTAACCAGCTCATCAAGTAATTATGTTGCATTTAGGGGCTTTCTTTTACCCCAAATTTATAATCTCCTTTCCAAGGGAAGAGTAATGCATTTAATGTCACTGAGATTGAGGCACACACAGAGAACCCCTTAGCTCTCTGTTGCTCTGGTATTTTCCACATCTGCTATTTATTTTTTTCAATTGCTGGTTCCTCACCTTCCAGAATACTGAGCTCCACCTGTTAGGCGATCTCTGGATCTGGAAATCATCCTCATACTCCCAGATAGAGGAAGTGCAGTCCTCATAAAACTGATGCAGATAGGACCGAACTCCATAGCGCTGCTGGTACCCACCCTCGGTGTCAGCCTGGGCTTGCCTGGATCCACAGGTGTTGCTGCAAGAAGTCATCTTCCCAGCTGGAAAGAGAGCATCCACAGAGATCAGCCCCATGGGCTAGTTCTTGGACCTCAGGGTCAGAAAGCATATTAAATGTAAGAATGATTCCAGGCCAACCTATCCAAACAGTTCTCTTTTTTGTTTTAAGCAAAAAAGCATCTTCAAAGATCCACCTACCTTACCATCCACCCTTCTCTTCTGTTGAATGTAAAATGGCTAGAATTGGTTCTCCACAAAGGAGATACGCTAGCTTCAGTCACTTAAGTTGCATAAAATAAGAAGTGGCAATAAAGGAGCTCTGACAACAGACCTTTAATGTAAGAAATTTATGGGCACTCACTGGCCATGGGTGGAATTTGTCTCTGCTTGTCCTGGATTTTTAACCACATTCCTTTCCAGACTGTGTACAATATTCCTCTTAGCGCTTTCCGGTTTTGTGTCCAGAGCTCATGTAACATCTTCTGATATTTTAATTAATTGCTAGGCCATATGGAAACCTTGTTAGAAAGCTGTGGAGCAACTTACATGCTTTGTTAACCACAAGTGACTGGACCATTAATTTATACCTCACTAGATTCAGCACCATGTATGTCTGTGGTTATTTGTGGCTATGTCTGTCTGCATGGGTGTGAACATTTAATGCAGACAATTGACCCTTTTTACTATTTCCTTCCAAGTGTCTAGTATAAATAAGATCTAGGAAAAGTAAATAAAACTGAGCTGCCTAGGGAACTTCCTTTGTAAGATGAAAATTTAAGATTGATTGGTTCCAATTGTTACTCTTGGAGAGAACGGTTTAAAAAGATGTGGTTAATCATTTATATTATTTTTTAAATGAAACTTTATTTAATGTGTTTGGGTGGTTTTTTTTGTTTGTTTGTTTTGTTTTTCTGCACGTCTTAAATGTGTGCACGCCTGGTACCTGCTAAGACCAGAAGAGGGTGCTGGAACCTCTGAAGCTGGAGCTATAGGTGGTTGTGAGTCACCATGTGGATGCTCAGAACTGAACCGCAGGCCTTTAGAAGAGCAGCTGGTGCTCTTAACCACTAAACTCAATGTTTTTGTTTATTCTTTTTAGTAAGGAATTACTGAGAGGTCATAGTTTTGGTGAGTGAGGGATTTCTCAGTTGTATGTTCTTTGACTTTTCTGATGTCTGTATAAGCAGATAGGTGTTTAGCTAGAATCCGGAGATATTTGGTATTTTTCAATTTCTTATAGATTATTTTCCTTGTTTGAACATAGACTGTATATGATGAAGTGAGGCCCAAAGCTATTTTCTCACTAGAAATATTTTTTTCAGGAAAGTCTTGGACTGTGCTATAATCTAGGCCGAGAAAGAGGCATTAAATGTTCTACTTGCTTACCAAGGAACCAGCTAGTAATGTCCACAGGACAAAGCTGTTCCTTACAGTTCTGTCAGATTTCTTTGTGGTTACTCAATTTGGTTGGATAATGTGATGGTTATCTTGATTGCCAACTTCAAAGAATTTAGAATCACCAAAAAAGCAAACTCCTGGGAACACCTGTGAAAGGTTTTCTAGATTAAGTTCACTGAGGTGGGAAGAATTTCTGTAAAGGCAGGTAGCACTAATCCTGAAGACCTGAACTGATTAATGATGAGCACAGGCATTTATCTGTCCTTCCTGAACATGGATGTAATGTGACAAGCTGCCTCAAGTTCTTGCTGCCATGATAAGCTATGGCCTAGAACAGTGAGCCCAAATAAGCCCTTACTTGCATAGGTTGCCTTTGTCTGTGTCTTGTCCCAGCAACTCATAAAGTAACCAATACAGACAGATGATGGCGAAAGGTGAGAATAGTCCTGTGGGAACAAGGAATCTCACAAGAGCATTCCTTTATATTCCAGCCACAGTCAAATTTGATTAGAAAATGTAATCAAAATTGAGAAAGTATGCTCTTGGTGTCAGAAGAATGGCACAGCAGATGGCATCTTGTCCACTTGTCTCATCTTTCTGTATGCTGGCCAGTATTGCACTTGGCACCTGTGCACTTTTTTGGTTCAGTAACAACTACCTCTAAAAAAATCATTCTGGAGAGTACGTCAGGAGAGGTAAAGAAAGGTAAGCATTTCAAAAGAGAACTTTTAGACATTCGGAGGGGTTTGACTTCACAACTAGTTGAGGCTTTAGAAAGCATTTTGTCTGCTTGCAGCAAAGCCTGATGGATCAAAAGATTGGTACCTAACTCTTATATCTTGAGTGCTAGGATGACCTCTTCAGTACCTTCTATGTAATGCTTATACAATGAATCTGATTAATAAGAGCCTATTACCAGTGACACATAAGTAGGATAATTTTAGAGTTGCCTTCTTTGAAGACATTCTAATAAAATATTTTTTTTTAGTCAACTGGAAATTGGATTGGTATTACTAACTCTGCTTTGTCATTGAGGAAACTGAGGTTTAGAAAAATCATCTTGCTAAAGGTTACACTGTGAGTCAGGGAGGAGACAAAAGATGACAGTTACTACAATGTGCAGGAACTTGGTCTGAATCATAGGTTTGTGTAGTCAGAATCAACTCACCTAGATGGTTTATATAATCTACATGTCTCCTGCAGAGCACCAGAGTCTTCAACATATAGACAGATATAGGATATAGGAGGAATGAAAATGTCCTTTATAGCAAAAGAAGGAGCTACTTCACTTGGATGCTGGAGTTCCTACTCTTAGGAGTCAGCTCTGATGCTCAGCAGATCCCTGAAACTCACTGTATTCATTCTCTGCCCAGCCCACTGCCAGCATACTTTGTAATGATCTTTAATTAAACTTTAAAGTTAACAAAACAGAACAAAAAGCCAACATAAGAGAGAAAAACAAAAAGTAGCAGAAGAAAGTGCCCTGAAGCAAACATTTTGATCCTGAGCATGCATTCCACTTCAAAATGGACCATTAGTGATGCTGGATGTACTCCCAAAGAAGAATCTTGCTGACCCTTACTTCATCTTCCAAGAGCATAAGACATGAACAAGAAGAACATAGCCTGTGTCATGTTAGCTGCATAGAGCAGAGAATGGACTCAGGCACTTGTTTCTGGTCATGACATCACTCACAAGCTTATTAACTTCTCATGGATGTGGTTTCATCATCCTTGCAATAAGAAGGTTGGACTGGACTAAGGTTTTATTTCTTCCAGATGTATTTTTTTTTTAGGAGGTTTGGTTACATATCTTCAGAGTGAGCCGTTTACTTTTTGTTGGGTATACACTTGAGCTTATTGATTCTCTACCACCTCGTGGACTGTCAGTCACAGACATGTCCTTAATTCCAGTGTGTATGAAGTTTAGCTTGATGTGAATGTATGCTGCTACCTAGGTTTTCTACTTGAATTAAACAGGCTGAGTGCTTACAGATTGCTTGTTAAACATACCACTTCAGTATCACACATGTTGCCTTCAATAGTAGCACCCAGATGGCAGGAAGTGTCTGAGAAAATCCACATACCTTCCTCAAGATACAACAAGATAGGACTGATGTCTGGAAGAGAATGACTTTGTAAATGAGTTTTAAAATATTCCATCATAGATTGAGTGTGTGGTGGTCTAAGAACCTCGACAGAGTTATATAACTCAAGGAAAAGTTAGTAAGTCAGAAACTAGCTGTCTTTATACAAAGAATGTTATAATTATTTGGAATCTGTTGACTGATATCAGTGTTGTTAGACAAAGGATACATGAAGTCATGTCATAAAGTGATCTTAAAGATGGTTAATTACTAATGATATGCAATAAACCAAGACATAGACAGGAACACAAAACTGGACAAAGGTCTTTGAATAAGTACTCCCTTATTGAGCAAGGCTTTGTTACCTTGTATTAAATATCTGTACCAGCAGTCACAAAACTGTAGCATCAATGTTATTTGCGGTTATTATTAAGGGAAAGACCTAAGGGGGCTCTGTTATTACATAGAGAAAGCTTTAATATGCAGGAGGTACAGGCCTAGAAGCAGATAAAGGAGCTTTCTAGAATTATATTTAAATGACATACTATTGATATATAACTTGTAAATACTCAAGTGGGGGCTCCTGTATTCTCTTTTGGGACTTGGGGGCAGCAAGATCTCCAGGTTGACATTGAATTAACTGTCTTTGTACCTGAGACTAGCCCTGAACTTCTGATCCTCTGGCTTCCACATTAGGAGTGTTAACATGCGCCATCATGCCTGGTTTGTGAAGGGCTGGTTATCTCACCAGGGCCTTGTGCATGGGAGGCAAACATTTTACCAACTATTTTATACCTCCAGTCTGGAATCATGACAGAATCCAGACAAGATGCCATCTGTGTGGACCTATTTGCTCACCTGTGAAGAGGGATTTGCTTGTATTCTCCCTGAGGGAACTTGTAGATATTGACAAATGGGGACTATTCACAGCTTTCTTCTTCCTGTTACTTCTCTTCAACAAAATAGCCTTCATGTGCAACATTTACAGTAGATGAGAGGACAAATACTGGGAATGACCCCCTGGCTAGACAGACAGATCCCCATGAGCAGTGCAGTAAGAACATGTATCAATGCACTGTGGTATCAGTTGTTGAGAATTTTAATTTTGGGCTAATATATGCAGTTATTTTCATTTTTTATTTTAAAACTGCTCACAGTCATAGAAATAGAAACAAGTCTTTATACCTCCTGCAACTCTGAGGACATCACAGGCATCACACTGTTTATCTTCATGGTCTCCTTGAGAGAAGGGAGGCAGCAAATTGAGGCACAAAGTGGATGAGTGTTTTCCCATGGCTCTATGTGTGAGTCACTTGTGGGCCAGGCCCTGTTCTCTTTATCCACTTTGAAATAACTCTCAAATTTTCATACTGATTTTTCTCTTTCAAAATAACTCTGAGCAAATGGGAGTGACATTCCCATTAGAGTCACTTTCTACAGGGCTGGTGCTACAAGGCACAAGGTATAGACACACTCCACTGAGACCATTTATCCAGAACCAAACCCAAAAGGTCATGTCCCTTAAAAGACTCTATGAGATTCACAGTGCACACAGGAAGGCATGAAAGCCTGCTAAGAGCCTTGCCACTTTGAAATTGAGCATTTTTGAATTACAGCATGATCATAAAACTTGAAATGTGTTTCTACCAAAGGATATTTTCTACCAACAGATATTTTGTCTTTTTAGAATAATCACAGAGATAGCGGCTTTGTAGAATGAGATCTTTTTTTATACTCTCTCTACCAGTGCATTGGCAGTCACTTTAATACTTTAGAAAATAGGAATAATAGTATATAATTAGTTTACTCATTATCAGTTGTCTGAATCTTTCAAGTGATGGTTATCTATCTCTACTTATCCATACATCTCTTACCTATACATCTGTCTGACATTTTCTATCTATAGTCCATCTGTCCATTGATTATCCTCTACCAATTTTTCTACCCATCCATATAAGCTATTATCTTCTGTCTATCTATACATCATTTGTCTACTTATCTATATTGTCTGTCTATCATCTATCTTTCTTTCTATTATCTGTCATAAACCTATCATCTTTCTCTTTATTTTCTACCTGTCATCTATCTATCTATCTATCTATCTATCTATCTATCTATCTATCTTAATAAGGCACGCAAAATTCAGAACCAAAATAAGCAGTCTTCTTCTCCTTTAAAACTCTTCCTTATCTGCATTCACAGATGACAAAAGCTGACTCTTACCTTCAATGTTCTCCTTCTCCTCTGCCTGTTTATTCTTTGATCTTTCTTTTAGAAGCTCATTCTTCAGTTCTATTTAAGAAAAGACAACAATAACTCTGCAGATATGACCCAGAGCAAAATAAAAAAATTACAAGCCACTCATAAAACCTTTGACCAAGATCTTCTTGTGAAAGAGCAGTGATGGCTTTTCTTAAAAACAAAAACAAAGAACAAAACCAAAGAAAGAAAGCAAACAAAAAGAAACTCAGAGGTCTAACTTATGTTTTAAAACTTTCTAATGTCTTCTCGAGATAATTTTTGGCATGACTGAAGTGACATAAACCCAAGGGCTTAGTGAGCCCCGGTACACCATACAGGTGCTGCTTTTATCTTGGCACTATTGTTTTCCATGAAGTTGACAGCACTAACTTGCCTGCTCTGCTTATATCACACACATTCCATGTGAACGATGGTATCTTGTTTCCTAGACATCTCATAACTGCTTTGCAAAACAAATGAGCCTTACAATCCTTGTGTCTTCCGATAAGCTTACATGCATCACACCCTCAGCAAATCTCTTTGGACAATTTACTCATTGCGTTTAGTTTAACTTCCACATCCGTTCTCTTCCTATCATGATCAGTTTATTCTCCAGCTGCTCAAGAGAAGCAGGTGCCTGCACAAAATTCAATTAAGAGACTGCTGCTAGCTACTGAGCTATTGGTTTCCTGCATTACTCTAGTCTTGTGAAACAAAACAAACAAACAAACAAATGAAAAATAGAGGCCCAGATCATCTAAAAGGCCATTAAAAATCCTGTTGGACAGGTGCCCATTGCATTTGTAGGAGAAACCGAAGGTTAGAGGGGAGAAGTGTAAGCCAGACATAACAAACTGTCTTCAGTATTTCTATACTCAGTCTATAATGAAAAATAAATAGCTGTACCATCTTCAAGACCCATTTTCTTGTTCTTGAAGTTTGGGTGGTATATGAGCCAACATTAGAATCTGGGAATTGAATTTAAAAAAAAAAAAAAAAAGAAGCCAGTTAAAAGCTCAGTTAAAAGCTTCTTCTGTCTCCCAGATTTCCCTCTTTGCCTCTCCTGGTTTCTGTCTCTGCCTCTCCCTCTCAGCAGTGTCCTTTCCTTTCCTTGTTGTGTCTGAAGAAACTGATGGTTTTGGTCCTTGACCAAAGTACTGGCCTGTATAGAGCTTTGGGAGCTCTCCAAGGTCCTGAAAACATTGGCGCCAGAGAGCCAGGAACCAATTAAGTCTACACTAGCTGTTCCAACTCCAGCTGGTTTGTGAGGTCGCCAGCCTTGGTCTGACCTCCACCCTCGTGTCCCTATCCAATAACAAAAAGAAGTAGGTTCTAAGATCATATCAAAAACATCTTTAAACATGGCTAAGGAGGGCTGGTGGTGGTGATTCCGGTAGAGAACAGGTCAAGTCAGCCTGGAAGAGAAATCTAAAAAGCCTTGTAAACTCTAAATCCATCTGTTCCTTACTGAAAATACAACTTTTCTTGTCTTATAGGAAGGAAACTCTTAAGTTTTTAGCTATACAACACCCAAATTCTTACGTAACATAGTCCACAATCCCCCAAAGCATGAAGTTGGTTGCTTCAAATTGCCACATTTTTGTGTATTTTAACGTGTGCGTGTGTGTGTGTGTGTGTGAATAAGGAGGGAGAAGAGGGGAATCTGGGGTGGAGGGAGTGGAGTTGAAGGAGAGAAATTGATTGATAGAGATTTGTGTGTGAGGAGGGCGGGAGGAAAGAGGACCAGAGGAGAATGAGGTGAAGAGGTAGCCCCAGAACAGCCCTCAACCCTCTCGCTGCCTTACCTGTCCCTCCAATCCCCGACCCGTGGAGCAAGTGCAGCCAACCTAGCCGCAGATCTCTCGCTGGGGTCCCATCACCACCGCCACTGCCGCCGCCGCCGCCGCCGCTGTCGCCACTCCCGCCTCTCCAAGCTCAGCTGCACGTGATTGACAGCCAGTGGCTCACGTGCCCGCGCAGCCCAGGCGCGCGCGGCCGCGAGTAGGGGCCGTGTCCGCGCAGCGCAGGGGGGAGCCTGTGGGAAGGGCCGACCTGGAGCACCGCCCCTTCCTGTGGTATCTCCTTGTCCCCACCCTGGCCTTGTTGGACGCCTGCTGGCTCACTGTTTACCTCAACTCCTGCTTTCTTCTCTGGCTCCAGCTGTATTCTGTCTCAAAGGGCCTTTTCCCCTCCCAAGGACAAGGGTTTGAACTCTGGGCCATGAGCTAGCGCTCTACTCCTGAGCCATATCGCCTCCCTCTTTCTATTTTTCTTTGAGACAGGGTCTCAAAAGTTGTACAGGCTGGTCTTAAACCCACTCAAGCCCAGGCGGGCCTTGAACTTTTGACCTTCCACTTTAACCTTCCAAGTAGTTGGGATGACAAGCTGCACCACCAAATCTGTTCTTGTTTGTTTGTTTTTGTCGTTTTAAAATAGATTTTTAGAAAGTAAACAGCAAGGGATGGTAGTGGTCACCTTTAACCCCAGCACTTTGGGAGGCAGAGGCAGGGGAATCTGTGAATTTGAGACCAGCCTGGTCTACATTGGGAGTTCCAGGACAGCCAGTGATACATAGAGAGACCCTGTCTCAAATAAACCAATTAATAATTAACAACAACAACAACAACAACAACAACAATAAAAGTGACCAGAGAGGTGGGTAAATTCAATGTCCGTTTCTCCTATTCCTCTTCAGTGGTCTGTAGAAGCCTCATCTCTGTTTTCAGTCCTATAAGAGACAGGGAGTAAGCAACCGGTCTGGACTGGCAGTTCAATGTCCAACAGCCAGAACCTTCCCTCTGCTATAGCTCTAGATTTCAGCTCCTGACTTTGTCCTTGACTCTGACATCAGGAAATCTAAATGTACGAGGGGAAGACAGATCAGAATAATAAATTAAATAATAAGATTTAAGAGATGAAAAGGAATGCTTGAAGGCTACCACACCAGAGTAACAACCTGTGAAAATGTGTGTAGGTATGTACACAGTAATATATAGCAACACTATATACTATATACTGTTACACAGTAACAGCTGCTCCAGGGACTTGATGCAGATCACTGGCAAGTGATACTTACTGAAAAAGTCATGTATTATTAATGTTTGTATGCATACGCTCTGAATAATAATAAAATGATACCATAGTTACCCAGTACCTTGTTAGGCATTGCTTTACCTATACTATGTATGTGTTCATCATATATGTAAGAAATCTTTACTGCCTGCAGCAATCTTCTATGGTAGGTGCTCTATAACCCCTATTCAGCAGATGAGAAGGCTGAGGTAAGAGAAATGTATATATATGGTGACACAGACTCAGAATTGCTTACACAGGTCCTACAACCACTGCCTTGATTTCAGTGATGTGAGCCCTATACATTCACACGTGATTGAATACGTGATCCCTATCTGGGGTGGTGTTTAGTAAGGTTGTGCAATTGTAGGACTTTTAAGAGGTGGAGCCTCCTAGGAGGAAGTTGATTAAGGCTTGAGGTTTATTTGTTTTGTTGTGGGTTTTGTTCTGAGACAAGGTCTTAATGTGTATCCCTGGCCATCCTGGAACTCTGTATGCAGATCAGTCTGGCTTTGAACTCACAGAGATCCATCTGCCTTTGTACCAACTATATCCAGCAGAGAATTTTATTTTTTTTAATACATTTTAAGTTTTTGAAAAGTCTCATGTATTTATCCAATGTGTATTGATCATTTCTAGCTACTGCTACCCGTCCATCTCTCTAGTAACCGCCATTTTACCTCCCCCCAACTTCATGTCTTTTTTGTTAATGTTGTTGTTATTAATAATTCAAGTCATTATTGCTGCTCACAAGCACGAAGGTGAGTGGCCACCCAGTGGATCATGTGCATCCTACCAGAGGTCATATCTCCAGAAGAGAGTGAAGAGAGTGACATTTCCTCCCTCTGCAGCTAATCAACTGCAAAGAGCACCTCTAATAGTGATGAAGCCTGAAGGCCTTTCACCCGTCCATGCTTGAATTTTGATTTGCTTGGTCTTGTGCGGTTCCTGGAGGTAACCACAGCTGCTCTGGGGAGATGCCTGCAACACCCACATCATATACAGAAACCAGCACTTCCTGGCTCTTCTTCCTGTCTGCTGGCCCTCTTCCATTCTGCATCCTCTTTCATGAAGACCCCTGAGCCTGGCATAGTAGGAGGTTGGTATTGATAAGCCATCTACAGCTGAACACTCAGAATTATTTATACCCAGCACTCTGACCAGTTATGAGTCTTTGAATTAATCACAACCCACTTCAAAAAGAAATCTGTCTGACCAAAGTTGAGATCATCAGAAATCGACTCTCTGGGTCTGTAAGTTCTGCCAACTGAGCTTGGGTCTTGGGGTTTTATAGTCCAGATCCACTTGCTGTCTGTTCTGTTTCTTGTTCTGTCAAGATGTGGAAAGGTTCTCTGGATACACAAGCCTGCCATGTGGAACTGCCTGCCCTATGCCTTCCCTGCTGTGGTAGACTGAGCCTCTTATACTGTGAACCAAAGCAACACCTTTCTTGAAATTGCTCTTTGTAAGCTATCTGGTTACAGTGTATCAAGAATAATGAAGCTACCACAGGGAGGCAGGAGCTGGACTGCACTTTGCAAGGTCATTTCCTGTTTGGAGAGGATCAACATGATAGGTGTTATTTTACTTATTTCCTTGACTTCACAGAGGTTTCAGGAAAAAAGCCCAAGGAACAACTCTATTCTTTAAATAAAAAGTGGACCCGCTAGGATCAGTGTTGAGCAAGCGCTTGGAGAGGACTGCAGAGAGAGTGCACTGTTGCTGTCTTTGTTCCTTTGTTCAGACCTACATTCACAGTGCTCCCTAGTGCTACTCACATCCAGTTTCCTCCTCCCTCCCCAGTCAGCATAAGGAGCTCACCTCTGGACTTTAGAGATGCTGTGCACTGGCTTCCTTTCCTCGAATTCCCTGTGCAGATCTGATGAGCATTTATTCTTAGAAAAAAGCATGGCTGTGCATATTTTCACATCCTCAAAGGTCCCTAAAATCAGCACATCTGCAAAACTCTGATGCGCTCTTCTTCTGGGCTTCTAGAAGGATGTAGCTGGCTTCTGATTGTCTGACTGATGCATGGAAATTGCTCTAGTTTCCTTTGGAAAGCATCCATTGGTTCAGAATGGTAGGCTCATCATAACCTAAATAGACCCGAATTTTAAATTCTGGGTCTACTGCTTCCTACCTGTTCAATTTGGATCAAGTTTCTTTACGGCTCACTATACCATTATTCTAATCTATAGAATGCTTACAGAAATATCCGTTCCATAGAGTGGCTATAAGAATTAAATGGGATTGTGTCTGTAAGGCATTGATCACAAAGTAAGCAATCAATAAATTATAGCTCTCATTATATTACTGATAGTATTTATCTCTTATTTAGATAAGCATCTTGGGAGGTCGTGGCTATCAGCTTGGAGCCTTGAGCTCTCTAAGCCCCCAGGCTCTGCATTTAGTTTAGATCCTCTTTTGGCAGGTTCATTTCTAACTTGCACAGTCTCTATCCCACACCTATCCAGGAGAATGGAGGTAAAATGTCTTCCACTAGCACAGCAGCCTTGGATGACGCTTTGAAAGCTGTAGGTAGATGAAAGAGTGAGATGAAGCCACAGATGGCAGATGAACATCATGATGTCCTTGATGTGTAAAGTTACCTTGTACCAATCGTAGAGTCTACTTAAGTCACGTTTTAAACATCAGTGAACAAAGATGATTACTGTGAAGCAACTAAGTTTGATTTCAAATATAACTCGTCAGTTTCCCTGCTGTATGGGATTTAACAAGGCACATGCTTATTAATTCATTATTCAGCAGGCATTTGTTGAGTATCTGCCATTTAGAGCTTAAAGGGTGAGAGACAAGCAGAAGCATTATGAAAAGTCAGAGAGAAGAGAGGTCAGGAGAGGTTGTAGTTTCCTGGGCAGTTCTTCAGAAGGGAGGCTTGAATTGTAGCCTGGAGCGGCCTTTCTAGCCTCCCATGGCTTTCGTTTCCTTTCATGACTTTTCTTCTATGTCCGTTTCTCATCATAGTGGACACTAAGTGTGGTCTATGCATCTAACACTATCTTAATTCACTGCTGTTGTGCTCACCGTTTCTTGCCTCCTCCGATGACAGCTGCTCATTCTTCACATAGAACTGTGACCACCGCCTGCGCAACCAAATCTTCTTTAATGTGCTCATTGATCACGCCCCCCTCTGAGACACACACACCTTCTATTTCAGAATGACTTTTCAATCTCTGTACCCTTCCAAATTAGGTTTTTGGGCATCATAGAGAAAGGATTTTGCCTGGAGCTTGCCTTTTATTCTACACATAGGATAACACATTGTTTTAGTGTAGATCATGCCTTTGGAGGAATGCATAAATTAGTAAATGAATGGAAAGGGTCTGGAGCAGGGTTTGACTGTCAGATGGATACAGAATGCTGACAATATCAGGAATGAAAAACACATGGTTTGGTGTGTGCCCTTAGGGCTGAACCTTGTTCCTGGGATCCTGAGACTGCAGGAGAAAGATGGGCAGTGACCCTGGAAGTGACCTGTTTTGATTTTCATCCAGCTGATAAGAGGCAGAGTCACCAGGGACTGGGCCCTTTGCTGGTGACCTTCTCTGCCGCTGTGCTCTGGTCAGACTCAACTGGCTAGGCTCTGCAGGCAGTCCAAGCTGAGGCCAGGATGCTCTGCTCTGCGTTTTGTGATTAGTATGCTCTGCATGTTCTTGGAGAGAACAGATGTTTGCCTGCTTCTCCCCCCAACCCCCAACTGCTTAATGATGATGGCCGGTTCTCAAAGATCAAGATCCAAGATCCAATTTCACATTTTCTTAATGGCTGTAGCTAAGAAATTCTATGTGTCCAGATCTGAGGCCCAGCCTTTATTTCACAGGGACGCTTTACTTTGTAGAACAGGGGATGTGCTGAAGGGGT